AAACCACGTGTTATTGTACAGTTGCGCTCCAGTGCGACAATGCCCGCTACGAAAGGCAATATCAGAAGAAGCTCGTTAGTAGCGAGCACTTGGACCATCCGTACGATCGAGACGAACAATAAATCGCCAGCAGGTCTTCTCGTTACTCCCATCGATAGTACAAGCTTTGTACTGCTAAGCAGGTAGTCTTCAACCTAGTGGCGATCCTCACGCTACTTCCGTTCACGGAATGAACAAGATTCGATGAACCTACCGCTAAAATGAAGGACCATACATTGCTTCCTACCACCAAGTGGATGGGTCAAATCGAACGGACGTACTATTAAAACACGAAAATATATACACGTACATGTGTATTTGCGTAGAAGATAGGGGGGGTTCCGTCGATAGGACGAGCAACTTGTCGACCGAGGTAAATATGAAAATCGGAATGAATCTTCCTCAAACAACACGATAGTATTCGTTTTCTTTCCAAAACCGGTCCTCTTGCACGCAACCCGTTATCAACACTGCTCAAAACAAAACATCTAAACTTTAGATCTAACACTACCGTTGAGTTCGCAACCCTTGAAAACCCTTATCTCTAGCTTTCCCCTCCCTCAATTAACTCAGAATTGAACGGAGACCCCTCTTTCCTCCCGCACTCGATCCTCCTCCTCGAACCTTTTTGTGCACTCTGTTCGTTCACTAGCTCTACTTCCACTGATTGTCCCACCGTTCTAACCCTGCCATTTGGTTCGCCTTAGCCTTAAACCTCCAAATCGCCTATTCCCCCGCCAACTTTTAGTACAAGTCGAGCGAGCTACGCCGTTTTCACTGCACCCAATTTGCCCCCCGCCACCATCGTCTCTGCCTTCTTCGTGTTCATGTCAACGACCCTTCCGCAGTGTGGCCAACAATGGTTCAACATAAAACTTCGGACGGGACCAGACTCCTCGACTAGTTTTTCGCTCCCCGTCCTCACTAGGTCCGATTGTGTCTAACATAGCGGCCTGCCTTGACGAATCCAACTCCTAGCGTAGAGCTCTAAGAGAAACAGTCACCGGTTGTTCGTGTAGTCTTCGACCCATAGTCCGCCTTTGTTGGGTTGACTTCCACTTACTTTGCCTCCTCCGACAACCCCTGTGCAACCTTACAACTAGGTAGCGACCTAGTCCTTCCGATGACGTACTAGAGGGCGCTTACCCTCCAGATCTTTGAGTAGAATATCAAGCCGCCCCCATGTCGCTCGGACGACTAATCCCTAGCCGTAGTGCCGCGGATATCTCACAATGGGCCCCCCTTTTTCCACCTACCCCGCTTCCCGCCTACACTTAGTAATGAGCTAACCCAAACTTAATAGTGTTCGGGTAAACTCAAACAGTCGGTCGCGGTCACATCGACCGAAACTCACTGAGGAGTGCGTAAAAACCCACGTACTATGGCATTTAGCCGGACAGATGGCCTGATAACCCTTTGCGCAAAAACTACTCAGGCGCCGGCCCCCTTCAATGCGTGGGCGTACACTAGGCCTACTTACAGCCTAAGAAACGACTTAAGTGAGGCAGACCTCGGTGCAAATCTTGGTGGTATTAGCAAACACTAAAGTTAGGAACTTTGAAGATCGGAACAGGAAGGATGGTTTCTATATACACAACCATCGCAACTCGTGCCGCTGCGGACATCTCCACAGCGGCCTGGATCGTTCCGTCAGGATACACCCCACTAATATCGGGCCCTAGTGGGCATGCTCACTCTCAAACCTCTAATGATAAATCGTGAACGGTGGTCAGTACACCCGCGACAAACCCCCGCCACCCTCTAGCTACAACTACCTTGGGGGTCAAATTCCCCATCGGCCCACATGCACGTTGAAATTGTCGGCACGTATCTTTAAGACGAGCAAAATGAAGAAACTTTGTCAACATTCTGAACACGCAGGAGCCCGTAAGTCAACCAAAGAGGCGCACACTCAAGCCCCTCGATCGTCGTGACGACCTTTAAACCCAACGTCTCGTCCGAGTCAAGGAACGTCGGAGTATAAAAATAATACTACAATAAAATAATAAGATATAAAACAAGTGGGATAGCCCCGCCAGACCCTCAACCCCTTGGTCTCCTCGCGCTTCTCTGATATTCCAGCATCGTCGCTACTCGATCTCGATCCCTGAATCTCTTCGATGAAAGTCCGACGCTATAGCCAATAGAACTGGGCCCAAAGATGAACCTAGCACCAACGGACATCTATATAAATGAGCACTGCACGACACGCAGATCTACCGAAACGGTTCAAAATCACGTTGTCGTCCATGTCATCCCACGCACGTACGCATAAGTTTCAAGCAAGCGCACCAATCCAGAGACGTAATAATTTTAATCCTAGTTTAATCAGAGATAAAATTTGGGTCAGTGATCACGCTGGCTCTTTGATCATCAACAAAATAAAAATTCACGCGCGCCCCAAGTCCTCGCGCCCACACACTCTTTAAGCTAGTTTGCCATTCAACCACCGTAACCAATGAGCACAACTGCGACTCGCGCGGTATACTCAATATTTAAACCAAACTTATTTTCTATTATTTGTAAAAAACAGGGCGGATACCCTTGTAAGGATATTTGCACCGACAACGCAAAGTGGTTTCTTAGGGGGCAAAAAAAATTGGGGGACCGATCCTTGGCAAAATTGTGGACTACCTACAGCTAACTTTGGTAGAAACAAGACTTTTGGAAAAAGGAAGGACCAGTCCTCCGGTGGAAGCAAACCCCAAAAAGAAGTGAGGGCATGTGAACTGCAAAAGAGCCCTCAGGCCCAAGCATTGAGATCCGTCTTCTCAAAATACGGAGGTCAGGCGCAACGAAACATGTGTTGTGCAAGAGACAACTTTGACGATTTTTTGTGCTCGGAGGAATCTGCAGAAAAATCTAAACTTTTGAGATTTCATAGACGAGGTCATGCTCTTTCGATGAAAAATTTCCGAACATTTTCAAAAAATCATTTAGACCGCGAAATAAGCGTCTCGCTGATTCGACGCATTTTCCATTTTCGTCACTCGGCCATATGTGGGCCAACTGAAAAAGTATTCCAACTTGATATTCAAGGAGTTTTCGCGCTCAAACGAATGGATGAGAAAGCCTGAAAATTGGAGTAGTCGTAGATTTTTTTGTGATCTTTCCAAGAAAAATACTAAATATATTTTCAAAAATCATTCCAACTATGAAATAGATTGCGACCGCAATTTAACCCATATTTCAATTTTGTCATTCACCCTCTCTCTCTCTCTCTCTCTCTCTCTCTCTCTCTCTCTCTCTCTCTCTCTCTCTCTCTGTGGTAGCCCCCTCCCCTCTCCCTCCCTCTCTATCTCTCTTTCTTTCTCTCTCTCACTCTCTCTCTCTCTCACTCATATTAAAAAATGAAAAAAAACTTTTTTTCTCTCTCTAGCAGGCCCCCCCCCCCTATCTCTCTGTCTTTCTCTCTCTCACTCTCCGTCTTTCTCTCTCACACTCATATCAATAATGAAACAAAACTCTCACTGTCTGTCTGTCTCTCTCTCTCTCTCTCTCTTTCTCTCTCTCTTTCTTTCCCTCTCTCACTTTCTCTCTCTCGCTCTCTCTCACTCACACAAATGAAATAAAACTCTTTCTCTCTCTCTCTCTCTCTCTCTTGTGCGCGCTCTTAATCTCATTGCTTTGGCTACTTCAGGGTTGCGTTCCCTGCGCCCACGCAGTAGTTTTTTTTTTTTATTTTTTATTATTATTTATGAATGGACCACGGATAACAACATTCATAAAAAAAGAAATACACGACCCTTACGGCTGCCAGTGTGTTCCCAGTGCCAAGTCAATTGTGTTTGGGGTTCCGGGTTCTCTGCCCTGTCACAATCTGGCTGACGGACATCTTCGGTGCGCGACTCAGGTAGTGATCAGACCCGTTTCCTATACCGTCCGTGCTTGGCAATTCGCTTCAAAAGGGGTCCTGGGTGGTGGCAAGGAGGGCCGGCGGATTAGAAGAATGTGTGGAAAATGGCAAAATTGGACTGCTCCTAAATTTTGTTGTGATCTTTCCAAGAAAAATATTAAATAAATTAAAAAAAATCATATTAAACCACGAGTACTTGGCCCATACACTGGCCGCGGGGCGTTGTCGTCGCCCCGCAACTTTTGGAGGCTCGGGGTACAGGCCTTCAAAGGCTGGCGCCGCCAGGCCAAACAATTTTTTTTGTGGTGCTGGTGGGTCGGCGCGAAACAGCACAGAGCCCGTTTTCAGGCTTGGCATCTGTAGCTGGGCCAAGTACTGGTGGTTCAACTGCGAAATGGATCGCAGCCACAATCTGCCCATATTCCAATTTGGTCACTCAGCCTCTCTCTCTCTCTCTCTCTCTCTCTCTCTCTTCTCCCCTTTTCTTGCCTACCCCTCCCCCCCCAATAGCAGCCGCAATTTGATCCATATTCCAATTTTGTCATTCAGTCTCTCTCTCCCTCTCTCTCTCGCTCTCTCTCTCGCTCTCTCTCTCGCTCCCTCTCTCGCTCTCTCTCGCTCTCTCTCTCGCTCTCTCTCTCGCTCTGTGTCTGGTAGCCCCCTTCCCCCCCCTCTCTCTCTCTATCTCTCTCTCTTGTGCGCACGCTTAGACCCATTGCTTTGGCTACCTTAGGGTTGCGTTCCCCGCGCCCACGCGGTAGACAATCACTATCTGGCCGGCGGACATCTTCGGTGCACGGTTCAGGTAGTGATCAGGCCCGTTTCCTATACCGTCCTTGCATGGCAATTCGCTTCGGAAGGGGTCCTGGGTGATGGCAAGGGTCCGCGGATGATCGGGCTGGCTATGCGTTGGCCTCTAGAGGGCTCGTATTCTTTATTTTACGAATTGAGGACTTTTATGGGCTAGTCGGGACCGGCCACATGCGTTGGTAACCCTCCAACCAACACCCGGGCTGCTCGATGATATTCTTTCCACAGTAAGGTCCACTCATAGGTTGCCACGTGTCAGTCCCGGTTGACGTGGAAGCCGCGTTTGTCAGGCGGGCGTAGCAATGCATCCGGCTATCATAGTTACCCCGTCGCTGTCGAACTGCAAACAGCGCATCGTGGTTGGCACTGTCGTGACGTATAATGGGAGTGCTACCACCGCAGCGCAATGAAGATCGAGCTATGGCTTGGGAAGGCGGCGGGGATGCCGTTGTCCCTACCGTCGTGATGCATCTCTTGTCTCTTCCATGACCTGCCGTAATCAAGCCGCTCAAAGAAGCGTGCATTTCAATTGGAACCTCGGAAATTGTTGTGCGATTAAGCAGCGTTGGCTGGACGTAAAAGCCTTCGTGGGGTTAAGGTCAACAACGATTTCAGCCCCCAGAAAAGAGCAGCCCAAAGAGAGCGGTTGTCAAGAGCAGAGGCAGCTAAGCAAGGGTTTTGGGGGCTGTTAAGTCGCCTAATGACGGTCCTTTGACGAGCCTTGTTAATATCGCTGGCACAACCTTGTCGCTTTTCCCGTTGTCGATGTCATTAACCCACACATGCGTGCACATACAAAGAGAGAGAGAGAGAGAGATTTGTAATGTGGGGATTGTTGGACGGATATCCGCCTTGTCGCCTAGGGCCTCTGCAAACCCCTCAGGGTAAGGACAAGTTACCGCGAAGGCCATCTGTGGCATGACAGCCAGACGTGAAGTGTCACTATCCTTTCGCTGAAGTGGTCTGCATGGATATTGCTTGAAGCACAAGGTGGAGAGGAAGCTTACGGAGGTAGACTTTTTGAATGCGCACACTCTAGAGAGACAGAGGGAAAGAGAGAGAGCGAGCGAGCGACACAGAGAGAGAGAGAGAGAGAGAGAGAGAGAGAGAGAGAGAGAG